AAGTCTTAAAAAAACAAAATTGTAGACTGCATTTTCTCCAGGTTGGGGTGACTAAATCAAGAACAAAATATGCTACAAGTGGTCAACCCAGTGCTAAAACTACATTTTTGTTTTTTATTTCAAGGATGGATAACTTTCATATTCAAGAAAATTTTGGCAGGAAAAAATATGTCATCCATTGAACAAAAATCTGCAACAGTCAATGCTACAAAGAGCTTTCTAAAAACCTTACTGAGTCTAGGAATTTCACCAAGGTCACTCCATTTCTCTTTATTTCTCACAGGTGCCCCTAACAATCCATCAATCTCCATTCCTGCCCAAGGAAATGAAACCAGGGTGCCAGCACAGGATGGGGACAGGGTCAGGCCTGGACCCTCCCCCAGGCCTTTCTGTTAACCCAAGCACCATGCCCCCAACCCCAGCCACATTCTTATTTCCCAGTGCGCAGCAGACATTCTGACAGGCTGTCACAGAATTGTTTCTCTTATGCTTCCCATTGCATTAAAAAAAAAAAAGCTTAAAGTATTTTTCACCTATAGTGTAATTTCTTAACACAGCAGGCACTTAATAGATAATTCTTAACTGACTGTCAGAGTTCTGGCTTTCAACCATCACAGGTACTATGGACCTAACTTGCTGCCTATCTGTGCAATCTTCCACCTGCCTAAATGTGGTTTTCTTTAAAGCTTTTAACTTATTTTAGCTGGTTTTTTCAACTGCTAATTTTAAAGAATCTCTTTCTCTATTTTTTTATCACTAAGTAAACTTTAACTTTTTCTCTTTCTTTTTGGCTTTTTTGGTTGTGTGAAGGCAAAGCAGTAATTTCTTTTTGCTTCTCCAACCCAATAAAATATATGAGCTATGAGAGAAATTTCTCCTTCAGAAGAGAAATCCATGACCTTGACTAAGAAAGAATCCACAGAACCAGGAACTTTTCCTATAGGGAATGTGAATAGCTGGGTTTGATAATCAAAGTACAAAAAGTCAGTCTTTATTTTTTAATTAAAAAGAGAGTGATTGAAGCTCTTATTCCAGTTAGTATACAACTTCTTATATAATCTTGCAGACGGACGTTAAGCACGTTTGTGCTTGCTGCTCTCCAAAGACTTAGTCTGCTTCAAGCAAGAGTGAAAAAATCAACTCCTTGTATTGATCTAGTGCCCAAAGGTGGACTCTTCACCTAGAATTTCATTTGAAGTATTTCACTTGCCTTTTGAACATGTAAGTGGAGAGGTTTGGATCTGATGGGAAAGAACTAGAGAAAAATACCATGTGTTCTGAGCACTCCCACAGAACATAAAAGCCACAAAAGTCTCCAGCACAGGAAATGAGGAAAAGTTCCAAGCGGCAGGAATTAGGAAAGGAGGTTACAGGAGCAGATGGGGGTATGGAAGCAAAAGGGGAAAAGGCTCTGGGGGCAGCTGCCCCTACCAAAACAGCACAAGATGCTGCTAGCTTCTGAAATTAAGAACTGCGCAAGGCAGGCTACAATTAAGATTTTCAGGAGCCTTGGGCAAGTATTAAAAACCTCTACCACGCATTTCAGCTGAGCCCTGAGTGTCAAAAAAAAGAGCAGAGAAGCAAAGACAGACCCATGCCAACCAAACACACACCAAGAGCCAAGGGCCATGCTAGCCTTGGCCCTGGCATATGTGAGGAATGCGTCTGAGCTAGTCTGGCCGGAGGGTGGGAAGGAGAGGCCAGAGAACAGCAGGCCAGACAGCACAGGGCCTCCCCTCCCCGGCCTTAGGAAAGGTCAACTGTATTGCTTCAACTGTATTGCTGGTGCAATGCAACCCCTTGAAGGCTCAAAACTGTGTTCTATGACAGGTCTGCACCATTCGACTTCCATGAAAATAAATCAAAGTAGTAAGTATACAATAAATTAAATGAAACTCATTCCTTAATATAGTCCACAAAAACTTGGCATCACGACCTCACCAACTTTATCTTCTTCACCTGTTATGCCCCCCCCCACCCCAGAGCTCTGGGGTTTCGGTGAACTGTTGCTGCCATCTCTCCCCCCACCCCGCAATATCATATACATACACGTATCCTTCCCAGAGCACATGCGCACACACACAGGAATCTCGATCTGAAGTGACCGTACTTTCTCATCTTTTCATTTCAATTTAAGTGTTAGTTCCTCAGAGCTCTTTTCTGTCACCTGATCTCAAGTCAGTTACCTTTCTTTCATTGGTCCCTGCTACTTTCCTTTGCAATACATATGCAGTATTTACTATATACTTATTTGCTTAGTGTTTACATTTATCACTAAGCTGAGATTTTCAGAAGGAAAACATGTGTTTTATTCATGACTATATATGTAGGATTCAATAAATATTTGCTGAATCAATCAAAAAAAAAACCCACAAATAATAAATAATCAACAAAGCCAAAAGCTGGTTCTTTGAAAAAATTAACTGAATTTAGCCTTTGGCAAAAATGGCTAACCAAAATAGAATACTTCTATAACTAAAATATGACATTAAAAAAGGGAAAATAGGGCCCTCCCTGGTGGTGCAGCGGGTTAAAGCACAGCACTGAGAGGCTTGAGCCATTTCTGCATGAGTTCAATTCCCACCTGCCTGGGAGGAGATCCACATGGTCAGGCAGACCTCTCCTGACCTGCCCGCTGCTCCCTTTAGCAGTGTACTTCGTCGATCTGCCTGTTCTGCTCCCCGCTCTGTCTCTGGTGAATCCTCTCACCCTCTGTATCTCTGGCCTGTACGCCAGTTCTGTATGAATAAATAAATCTTAAAAAAAAAAGGAAAATAGAACTTAAGTATAAAAGGAATTACAGGCGACAGATGAACAACTGTCAACCAACAAATTACTAAGATATAAATTACCGCAAGTGGCCCTCCCTGGTGGCACAGTGGGTTAAAGCACAGCACTGAGAATCTAAAGCCGCTTCCTCATGAGTTCGATTCCCGCCTGCCCCGGAGGTGACCACATGGCGTGGCAGACCTCTCCTGACCCGCCCGCTGCTCCCCTCAGCAGTGTACTTCGTCGATCTGCCTGTTCTGCTCCCCACTCTGTCTCTGGTGAATCCTCTCACCCTCCGCATCTCTGGCCTGTACCCCAGTTCTGTATAAATAAACAAAAATCTTTAAAAAAAAATAATTAAAAAAAATAATAAATTACCGCAAGTAACTCAACAAAAAATAAGTCAGTAGACCTACAGTAAGAAATTAAATTACATCTGTAATTAAAAAAAAAACTTCCATGAACAAAAGCTCAAGTCATATGGCTTTACTGGTGAATTCTAACAAACATTCAAAGAAAAAGTAATACCAACCCTTCACAAAACTGTTAAAAAATTTAGAGAAGAAATGCTTCCCTATTCTATGAGAGTGAGACAGGAGAGGTCCCAGGACAAGTATGGGACAGATCTCAAGGAAAAAAATGTTGCTGCTCCCACAGGCTGGTAAACAGGAGGCTGCAAACCTCCTGGGCAAGGTGATCCACTGCCAGAAATCCCGCTGGCCCATCTTTCTTACCACTAATGCTCCCAACCTGGGCACTCCTGAGATATCTCTCCACAGCTTATCAAGTTGGCTGCTGTGGGAAAAAAAGGAGTTACAGACCCAGAAGAAAAGCGTTACAGATGGGGCCTGTTCAAACTGGAGCTGCAGGCACACAGCCACCAGGAGGCATCCTCCTCGGAGACAGTCACAGCCCCGCACAGCCACTGAGCTGTGGCTGCTGGCTGCCCACAATCAGCACAGTAAAGGGACTGCAGCCAAGTGCACTCTCCTGGTTTTCTCCACCAATGAAGATTAATGAAGATTAATTGATTAATTCCTTTGTGCTCAGACCTCAACCCTGACACCTATCTTGACCTCTACCCCTGCCACCCTGGAGTCTCTCAGGCCCAGGGAAGTCCCCCCAGAGCTCTTTCTCTTCACTAGCCAAAAAAAAAAAAAAAAAAACAGACTCCTTGCCTGCCCGCATCAGTGCTTGTGGAGTCCTCTTTTCAAGACCCTTTCTCCAGTTTGGAAATGGGTATCTCCGCTCATCCCTCCAACTCCAAATGGGTAGAGCAGCAAACAGTAACTGGTTTGCTTCTAACTTATCTGCCTATGTTGTGAGGGAGGCTGGGATAGGGCTGAAGGGGCTTGGGCCTGGTCTGTTGAGCGGTGACCAGACCGAATGCGCACAGGTGTCACAGTAAGACCACATCCCTTACAACTACACATGCAGGACTCCTCACAAAATAATAGCAAACTGAATCCAGCAATATATAAAACAGACTATACACTATGACCGAGAAGGCAAGATTGGTTTAATATTCAAATATCAATGAGTGTAATACATGATACATATAATAATGAACAAAAATCATACTATCACCTATGTAGATGTAGAAAAAGACTTGAAAAAAATCCAACACCTCTTACATATAAAACACTCAGCAGACTCAATGGGTATGTATTGCTTTTGGGGAATGACAAAAAATATTCTAAAATTAGACACTGATCACTGGTTGCACAAACCCTATGACTATACTAGAAAAAACTGAACTGTACATTTTAAATGGGTGAGTTGTACAGTATGTGAATGATAGCTTAATAAAGCTGTTTTTAAAAAAATAGCAAGTATACAGTAATAGAATCTATTAAATGCTTACCATTATGTTTATATAATGTCCTTGTTTTCTGTTCCTAAATGTTTATTTGTTGCACTATGAAAATACCAATAAGATATCAACAAAAAGAAGGGAGAGGAAAGTTCTTTTGGGGGAACTTGGTAGCTAGGCATTTGAACTCTAAATAAAATACATACATGTGCTGAATTTATGTGACAAGCAATTTTCTCTTAATTCAGAGAGACAACAAATTATGTTGTATACCCCTATTAAGATTCAATCGCCTGAAGACTTCCAAACTGTAAAATGCAAAACTAGCCTCTCTTTAGGAGAAAAGGACACTGTTCCCCAGGTCATCAGTTCTCACAATGCACTAAGGACAGACAGGTTCAAGAAACCATACACTCACGTTCTTTAAGACCGGAAGTGCTAACTGCTCGAAGGAAGTGAGATCCACCACGTATTGCCCAACTCGGTGTTCACGTTTCCCAGGCAGCAGTTCTGACCTGAATAAAAAGCAAGCATGTTCTTGTTGAAAGACTTCTGCACTGGTTTCTCTTTGCAGCTCCAATGAGCCTCTGACCACCCACATATGCCAAATTATCCTTTAAAATCACCTACACAAAAAGTGGAGGCGTGCAAAGCACATCCGGGGAGTTAATATACGACCAATCTTTGAAAAATGGTGTGAGGAAAGAGCTACAAATTACAAAGTAATAAGAGCTTATGGCTCAATAAAATAAATTTTATGGTGAAATGTGTTTTTATACTTTGTTTTTCATAGGATGGTTTCAATCTCTGTCTATGAGAAATCAGTAACAGTTCAAGATTTTTCGAGACAGAAGAATTGTTTAGCTTCACCCTGTGCCCAAGGAGAATAAAATACTGTGAAAATAAAGTGTAAGTACCCAGCTCTAGACAGAGGTCCCCGCATTCCAGATAATGTGACAACATCAAATCCTATTCTTCTCCCCCCTTGTCTGACTTCTTCTGTATAAAATCCATCAACAGGCAGACCAGAGGACTTTAGAACTTCACTGGCTTTTTGGATCAGTGTTGTTTTTCCAACTCCTAAAAAACCAACCAAACAAATAACAAACATTAAGAACCATTCCCTTGCTAGAGCACACAGGGTGCGCTGCACTTGCTGACTTCAAGAACAACATGGAGAGCAGAGAAATGAAATGAAAATGAATTTTTCACTAAACTTCACTTGAATTTTGGTTGCTACAGGCGTTAAAAGTTTTAATTTTAAATAATAAGCAAGTGTAATAAAACTATGAATGATATCTTAAAGTTGATTTTTAAATTCTGAAACATTACTTTTGTCATGTACATAATCTCAGAACCAACTGAGTGATTTTCTGATGATAATCTCAAGTGCAATCTGCATCCAACAGAAAGGCAAAATAGAAACAAAAGTTTTGTCCTAGGTTACTCTCTTCTTTGGGTTGCTAAACTTTTCCACCTCAGATGTAAAACTTGTCATGCTTGGGGTTGAAGGATGGCCGAGCACTTAAAACTTGACTTTTATCCTACAGACATTCCTACCTGTATTCAACGGTGGAGAAATTCCTTCACTCCTCCATAGACTTACATTGCCATCTCTGGAAAATGTGTCTCTTAGTCCCACTAAATACCACTAGCAATGGCATTTTTCAACTTTCTCATGAGGGCAATCTCATCAAAGGGGCAAACCCCTCACTACTCCCTCCAGGGATGCTAAGCCTTCTCTGGCTTGTCTCCAACCCCTCCTTACACTTCTGTGACCCAATCCTTTCCTCTTAGCCTGGCCTGAACTCTTCGGTGGATACAAGCACCAAAGCTGGTACCTAATATATGACATTAACCACTGACATCCTGGTGTCAAGCGCTATCCTAGCATATTTCACAACCATTTTCTTTGTTAAATCCTCACTTCCACTCTCTGGGGCAGTTACCATTTTGGCCCTTATTTTACAGATGAAGAAAAGTGGGCATAATGATGAGGCAACTTATACAAGTTCTCATGACTAGTAAGGGTCATACTCTTACAGGGGCCTCTCTTTGTCACAATGACTTTATGTGACCATTGTTCTCATGTAGATCTAAGTCAATGACATTATAATTACCCAAAAGTGGAAAAACAGGGCAAACTTCAAGGAGTTCTGTCACAAACGTAGAGAACTGTAAATCATATTCTTTCTATGGCTGCCCACACAGAGTCACTGGGATTCCCCACAAATTCTTTTAAGTTTCCTTGAAGTAAGATTTGTTATTTTTATTTAACATATTTCTCTTTCAAACATCACAATAACAATGGCATCCAGTCTTTTGGAACATAAACAGCACCCCAAGAGGACCCATTCCACATGTTCACTGTGGTTAAGAGAATGGTGTAGGTTTCTGATGCCAGCTCTGAACCTCAGTAACTGCTGCTTTAGGAGAGTCACTGAAGAATCTAATATAGCAAGAGATATTAGTGGATATGGAAGATGGTACTTTTCTGAAGGACATTTTCAATGTGCTTTCCTCAGCACAATTTTATGACCAGGAATTCATTCTTAATAAAAAAAAAAAAATCCAACAACAATAGAAAGATATACGGAATAGGATGTTCCCCTCAGCAGTTTTTATAGTAGCAAAACACTGAAAACAATTTAAATGCTGACCAGTAAAGGAATGGTCAATTATGGTACCATGTATATAATGACACATAAATACACAGGAATACCATGCAGTCATTAAAAAGAATACTCCTTACCTATAATTATTATGGAAAACAGATCACAACATGTAAAAATAACAGGTTAAGAATGAGCAGATACATACAATATTATCCCATATGGTTTTAAAAATGAAGTATGTATGCACTTATAAAAGAATATGTCCAAAAGAATAAAGAAATATTTATAGCACTTATTTCTATATGTTGGCATCCTATGACTTACTTTCTTCTCTAAAACACCCTTAATTTATTTGTTGAGGGGTCTCACAGTGAATGGATATTACTTTTAATGTAAGGAAAAACAAAGCTGTTCACATTTTGAAAAGGGAGAAATGAAGCAGCTATGAAAAAAGAAAACAGTGTGTCATGCATATTAGGTAGAAAGTAATAAAACTAGAGGAAGCCTTTGACTAAAATCACTAAAATCCCCTTTTTCCTCTTTAGCTCTAGTAATCTCTCGGTTCATTTTCATCTCCTCTAATTAAGCTGCTACCTTAGTGTTATCTATACCAGCTAAGTGACCTGCACTGGAGGAGACCCCAAAATGACAGCTCTGCTCTGCTCCACATACAGAAAAACAGGTGAGGAAACTCCAGAATTGTTTCAGTTTTGATTCCCCATAAACCTGACCCTAAGATAAATACTCAAGTATGGGAAATTTAATCTGGGAAATTTAATCTGCAACACAGGCTGGTAGGATGGTAACAATGTTGGATGGCTGGAGTTTAATAATACTGGGGCCTCCAAGGAGTTCTGGACATGTGGCTCAGAATTAGCCACTTTGAGAAAACAGAGCTCATTCTGTGATAGACAGAACTTCCATTTATCACAAGTTAGAGGCTGCTCTTGGCAGGATGGAAACTCCCTGGTCCTTCAGAGTAGGCCTTAGTCCTGCAGATCGGCAAGCTGAGTGGGGTCCAGTGCCCAGAGAAAGTCCTCCGAGATGGGTCACACACACCAGATGGTGGAAGTCAAGAAAAATGCTAAGGGCAAAGGAGACATGGATGGAGCACTGACAGCACAGACAATAAATGGTAACCTCTTTGAGAAATGGTAGAACCTCCTACATTGCCTCTCGGAACATAGAGTTTGGGGTGGAGCTGGGGATAAGCAAATACAAAACAAAAACATAATATTCCAAAGGTGGGTGGGTGGGAAGGGACTGTGCATAAACGAAAAAGAAATTATAGATGACTACCTAGTTCTTCTGTGATTAGCTTTTACACTGTCACAATACTATAAAAACTGACTATTGAATTAGTGAAAAGCATATTAAAGCTGCATTAGGAAGAAAAGAGGTGGATGTGCTTGAAGACAGGTTTAAACAGAACAACACTGAAGAATTATCTGCATCTTTTCAACTACCTGGATATAAAACTTTTTATAAAGAGGAAAACAGCATGAAGAACCTGTACTGGCCTGGCCAGCCTCTGACCCCATCCATCTCCAGGACTGAGGAGGTACAATCTCAAGAACAGGTCACCACTGTTATGAAACACATAGATGTCCTTGAGGTCAGCCTGCTGAGAAAACTGAATTCCAAGTTTCAAATAAAGAACTGACAAATCAACCTGCAGAAGACAATATTTCTTTGTAATATGAGGGAGTACTTTGGGATATTAAAAATTTCTCAGACTACCCTCCCCTCACCATTCCCCTATTGCCTGGTAAGAACAATATTCCAAGTCTGCAATATCATGTGTAACCTTTGCTACTTAAGGCTAAACATAGTCATTAAAATAAAGTGAAAAAAAATCTAGGCTCAGGGTAACAATTCTGACATCTGAACTCATAGCTAACTTGAAAATTAGATCTGTGTTGCAAAGAAGCTGAAGAAATCATTCTCCACTCTAAACCCATATTCCTTCTTTAGCTCCTCTGATGCTGCCACCAAGTTCCCACCTCTCTTAGTCGGGCCTGATACAAGTGCAGCACGTGGTTTGAAAAGCATCTCCTCTTCTAGTCTCTGGCTAGACTGAACATTATCCCAAATCACTGGCGAGAACTCCACAGCACACAGGGCTGAGGGGTTTGGCCAAGGGCAGGCATTACACAGGACAGGCACAAACATTGGGTCCAAGCGTGGGGTACTGTAGGTACTAAGATTTCTTAACTCGCAGTCTCATTTATGAAGGGTGTTCAGAGAATGAATGACCTTGGATGGGGACGAAGGGAAGCATTAGCTTCACTCTCCATCAACTAAAACCCCGCACTTACTTTCATCATAAATGTAGACCAGGATGCACAGGACAGCGTGTGACTATCAACAGAAACTACACTATTACTAGACACCTCCATATGAGTCACAGTTGTGCCAGACAGCATGAGACAGCTTTTGAGTACATCACAACTTCAAAACTACAGCGGTTACTGCTGCCGCTGGACGCTCCAATTTCAAACCTTAACAAAGATTATTACCACAGCACCAGTTTGTTTTTTCTTACATAGTTGCCTTAATTTCCAACCTGGTCTATCCTAAGTACGTAAAACCATGTCTTCCAAGAAATGTACGCTTCAGCTTAGCTAGCCGGAAATTTAAATTCAGAACTTTATAGAGTCCAAGTGCTGGCCGCCCCTCCCCGAAATCTCGGGGCTGTCCTAACCCCGCATATCCCCAACCTCGGCTGTCCGGGAGGCCCACACTTAGGCAAAGTTACCTGGGGGCCCGGTCAGAAACACGTGTCGGGCCATAAGGCTGGGACGGAGTGGGGGTCGCGGCCTTAGTTGGGGGTCACAGTTGCAATATGGGATAGGGTGTTGCGATGCAGGTCCCGCCCAGGCGCGCCGCAAGCGCCACCCTTGCCGGAAGCATCGCCCTACCCCTGCGCATGCGCCTTCCTTCTCAGCGCAGTGCGCCCTTTGCCTCCGACCGTCGGGAGTTTGCGCATGCGCCCTCAGATGGTGGCGGAGCTGTGCTACCGTCTGCCTAAGGCGCAGGTGCCGGGAGTGGAATGGTCCCGTGTCCCCTCGGTCCGTGTTTTAAGGCTCTGTGCGGTACTTACGTTTTGTGTTCACAAGGAAACGTGCGTGAGAAAGCCTGTTCTGCTCCACGTGAGCGCAATCACCCCCCCCATTCCTGCCCCTGGGATGCAAATTTGAGAACTGTAATCCCCCCACCTTCACGGAAACCGCACTTCTGGAAATTTGGATTCTGGAAGCTTTCCTTAAAAAGGAAGCTTTGGTGCGAATTCGAAATATTTACCCGGTGTTCACGAACGTAGCTGCAGAGTAGAATTACCTGGTTAAACCTGCTCAATGTCTGGGCTCCATCTCCAGAAATTTGGATGCATTGTCTTTAGTCTTAGGCAACTCTTGAGCCTCCGGATTTTGCGTTTTTGTGTTTAAACGCACCAGCAATTTCTGAAGTTCACTGGGCTTGGGACTCTGCTAAGGCCGTCTTTCCACCAAGCTTCTTTCCTCAGTACTAACGCAACCTAGCCAAAGGCACTCCGGTACCAAAAATTGAGTGACTTTCCCCTTCACTTAACCACTTGAATGGTTTCAGTCAGCAAAATGAAGTGTCAATGGCCTTGGGCCAGATATACCTGTAAACTCTTTCAATCTAACATGTGTACAGTTTGACTTGTGATCAATCATTCTCCATCCTGGCTGAGAAAGCAATTTCAGTGAGTGCTCAACTTAATTGGTCTGTGCCTCCACAGGACCCGCAGGGCTCTCCTTAGCCGGCGGTACAGGAAGGAATCATCCTAAAAATAAAATAAAATAAAAAGTTAGGTGCGCACGATGTAGCTGTCACCGCTGATTCTGCAGCATTTTGTAACGCTGCATCGCCGGTAATGTATGAATTTACACCTAGATTTGTATTTCACCTTCTTTCAAATTGGAATAAAAAATAGCTGGTGTAGCCCAGTATTCCCAAACTCCTCCCCCAACCTCTCTCTACCCCACAACAACACACTTTTCCCCACATGGGAGTGACTTACAAAAGGAAGAAGTCGTACATCGTCATATGCATACACGTGTTTCTCTCAAAAACATTCATTTTTAAGGCTAATTATATAATATTTTCTATCACTGAAACAAATTTTATACTTGCAAGGCTCACCCTGGTTAGCTTATTTTCTTTTTTGCTATCCCTGGAATTCTGGTAGCTCTTAGAGGATGTCAGGTCGCTCAAAGAACGCAGAGACTCCAGAATTGATGTCTCAGAACAATTAACTCTTCTTCCATAGTTGGATATTCTTTTCCACTAAAAAGTATTTTTTGGGGTGGTGACTACACAGGAGTCTTTACTTCATGATAACTCATTGAGTTGAACCTTTCGATTTGTAGTTTGCTCTGTGAGCTATAGACCTCAATAACTACCTACCAGAAAATTTTTATTAGAAATTAACACGAGAGGAGGGCATTGTTAGAATCACATTTAAAAAAAAAATAGGTTATTAAGGTACTGTGCTGAATCTATCTTTTGCTTAACTATTGACATAGACTACCTTTCAACTAAATAACTGTTAAAGAATTTGTGAACATATTTTAAAACTTACAGACCTTCAAATAGGCACTCCTCCACTTTGTAAGCTACATACTTGCCATTAATTATCCCACTAAATGCTTGGAAGCCTGTGAGGTCGAGATTCTCTGTCTTACCCACTCTACCTTATAGTGAAATAAATCAAGCCTTGGAAACTCTGACTAACTTAACTAATCAAAACAGAGAACTATTAGTACGAAAAGTAGTGCCTTCAAAAGCAGTGACTTTAATCACAGAATTTGTCTAAAATTTTCTGACAACTTGGAACTGTGCTCATTTACAGTCAACCTCTAATTGAGTTTCTATAGTTAGTATTTTTTTTAAAGATTTATTTATTTATTTGTGCATACAGAACTGGGGTACAGGTCAGAGGCTCAGGGGCAGTGAGAGGCTTCACCAGAGACAGAGTGGGGAGCAGAACAGGCAGATTGATGAAGTACACTGCTGAGGGAAGCAGCGGACGGGCCAGGAGAGGTCTGGCTCGCCATGTGGTCTCCTCCGGGGCAGGCGGCAGGCGGGGATCCAACTCATGCGGAAGTGGCTTCAGATTCTCAGTGCTGTGCTTTAACCCGCTGCGCCACCAGGGAGGGCCAGTATTTTTTTAAGAACAGTTAAAATTAGTTTATAGTGGCCCTCCCTGGTGGCACAGCAGGTTAAAGCACTGCACTGAGAAGCTAAAGCCACTTCTGCATGAGTTCGATTCCTGCCTGCCCCGGAGGTGACCACACAGCGTGACAGACCTCTCCTGACCTGCCCGCTCTCCCCTCACCAGTGTACTTTGTCGATCTGCCTGTTCTGCTCCCCACTCTGTCTCTGATGAAGCCTCTCACCACCCCTGAGCCTCTGGCCTGTACCCCAGTTCTGTATGTACAAATAAATAAAATCTTAAAAAAAATAGTTTATAGATACTAAGCTTAGCAGGAGTAAGCTTTTTTGTGTGTGGCTATTGTAAGAGTGAATGCAGAGAGCTAGCACAGGTGAGAGTCCCTCAAGATGCTACCAGTTTCCATGAAGAATGGTGGATCCACAGAAAAGGAAATTCTCTCTGGCCTCCTAAATAAATGACGGGAGTGAAAAGTGAAGGTTACCTACGATGAGCTGAGAGGCACAGGGAGAAAGGAAGCCTGTTAGCAGAGCTTCTGTTTGGATTTATGTCATTTCCTTGGGAATGCTAACACTGCACATCTCTGTTTCGTTCAGGTTCATATTCATTTCTTACACCCAGATGCTGACAGTGGAGAATCTATTGTATGCAGGATAATATGGCACTTGTTCTGGTCTGAATCTGACTCTGAAGGGTGGGAACCAAAAAATAAAGTCACTGTATATAATGAATATTCAACAGCTGATATAAATAGAACTATTGATTTAATATACCTTTGCTTCTTCCCTTCCTCTCTTACTTTTTTCTTGCCCTCTCTCTTCTGCTTCCTTCTTTCCTTTTCTCTCCTATTTTATTCCACACTATGCCCTATAGTAAATTTGAAATAGCTTCTGACATCCAGGATGACATCCTAAGGATAACGAAAAACACTGGTAAGCAATCTTCTGTATCTGAGGTCCAAATTAAAAAAAAAAAAAAAAAAAAAAAAAAAAAACAAACTGTAACATCTTTTCATTCAAAATGAGAATGCCTTTATTTGAGTTTCAGGGGAAAATAATCACTTTTCCACCACTTTAGATTCATTATTGACTAAAAATTGCCATAAGATAGTTGTTATTGCATTTTAGCCACCAGCCTTTTAATTATATCTGGTCATTTTTAACATGAGAGTAACTAGCATTTATGTATTGTTTATTATGAGCAATTCTACTCTCAGAGCACTATCAATTATATTAACTCCTATATACTTACAGAAAATTTATATGCAGAGAAACTAAGTTATAGAGTCTAAGGGACTTGCTTCAGGCCACCACACAAACATCCATATTCATATGTCTGTGTGCATAAATGTACATCTGTGCATATATATTTTCATATATATGGTTCAAACTCACCTACTTTGCCATCAGATTTTAAACTTTTGTCCTGAGAATAAACTGTACAATATCACAAAGCAAGAAGGGTCATATGAGGGCTGACTTCTCTTCTTCTAGGAAAATAAGAATCACATTGCAGTGTGGTAACAGCTCTGAAGTAGCTCTTACAGTAGGATGGCACAGAGATAGTGGAGGAGCCCTGTCTGCCTGATTCTAATCTCGGTCTTCTCCCTAGGGCTTTCCAGAGTGATAACTATTATCCCATATATCCTCACAGACCAGCTAACTTGTGGGATCCCTGAGTCAATAAGTAATGGAGTGGGTTTGGCAGACACACCGTCTCACCCTGAAGTCACTTCAGGGATAAAGCTGCAGGCTTTGTTTCTGCTGACACAGAGACATACTCTCTCCAGCACCGCCCATCATGAAGGATCTCTCTTCTGATTTAGGTATAAACTCACATTTATTCAAGATTTGTTGTCTTTCACCATAAATCATCTATAGGGGAAGCTGTTTTTTCATTTTGTCAAAATATATCATCCCAGAATTGTTTGTACAATGTAGCACAGGCAAAGTAGGTCATTGGTTTTAATTATCCATATTCATCCCACAGAAACCTTGGCAGTCATCACTGGCTCACATGCCCTCTTTTACAGCCTAGCACAGAAAGTGGTTTAAGTTTCATCCCCTTCCAACATCATGTGAGGTCTGAAAGTCAGTGGCGCTGAGTGTATAAAGCATAAATTTGCTTCCAAAGTATAAATAATATAGGACAATTTAAGGCAGGTATTTTCCTTCTATTCTCTCAGGAAACACATACACTGGTTAGTGAAACAGATATCTGGATTCTTGCTTTTAGTTATCCCAGAGTGAGATAGAATGATTTTTTGTAGCAATGTTGGCAGATGGAACATGTTACACGTGAAAAACACTACCTCCATTCATTACTTCAACATGATGCTCACCGCTGAATCAGAAGCAGAATAAAGACTTGCTGAGAAAAGACTCAATCCCTGGTCCTGTTCATGGTTCCATAGACCCTTACATTTGAAGAGCTGAGGAGAGTTGGTTGCCTAGATAGTTGTAGCCCAGCATGATATCAAGAATACTCCCATGACAATTGGTGCAGGAGAGTGGGAACAATGACATTTTGTGTGGGAGGGTTAGATCAATCTTGAGTTTCCCAGGGCTCCTGCTAGGAATGAAGCAGTTTCTGTTTTGTGTTCTTTCCTCTTCTCTGTGTAACACTTATTCATCATCCCCCAAGAATATTCCAAGTTTCCTTTAGCTTCCAGGACTTCTGTTTCATTGCATTTACCATAATTTTGTTTAGATTA